ATCGACTGAGATTTAGCACTTAACACATTAATATTTTAAGGAGATTTTACAATCAGTTCATTTTTACATTATGTACCGTGTAACATGGATCCAATCACATCCACATAAATGCGCAGAACAAAATAAAGAAATGTAAACATTGTATTTGCAAATAGGCCGAAATTCGCGAGCGTAATTTGGGATTACAATGATATATATATATATATATATATATATATATATATATATATATATATATATATATATATATATATATATATATATATATATATATTTCTTTTCTGTTTTGCATTTATATAATTCCTTTTTATCTTTGTTCTACAATGATGTAATCCTGTTTTTATTTCTGTTCTACAATTATAAAATCCCAACAAGCTGTCAAAGATAAGAAATATAGGTGTCAGCTGCATTATTTACATAAACATATTTTCAAAGATAACCAAAACAGCTTTGTTTCTAGAAATCAGGAACTTAACAATTTAATATTTACGAATTTCGTTGCTTTACTGTTGGCCATTTTAAATTTCTTTTTCCTGTGTTATTGATACCACATCCTCTAGAATGTATTACTCGATATACTAGTGAATTGCTCTACCGTCACGTTTCTAATATGAACTCCCGACAATGCAGTAACCAGCGTGTGTCACTAAAACCATAACAGCAGCCTCATCAGACCCACGCATCAATAATTACTTTGTCAAGGGAAGTAAGTCGTTTATTTACATTTTCTACCTCGGTTTATCGGTGGTTGTTCAAACCCTGGGGGAATTAAAAATTAATTTTCTCCAAAGGGGTGGGGGTATCTTGATAACATGGGAGGGAGTAGAGATTTGAAGGCGATGCCACTTGTATAGATTTTAATGAGGTAGTTATATACTTGCGAATATTTTTTTTCTGTGTGCACAATTTACTGTTTTCGCTTTATTCAGTGTGCGCTATTTTCTGTTTGCGCATTTTTCTATGTCCGCGATTTTCTCTTTGCGCATTTTTCTGTTTGGCAGGATAGTAGTATTTAACAGTTTCAACTTAAAGCAAATAAAAAAAAATCTCTAAATTGAGGCCTTAATTGTTGTTGTAAAGTTGTTACTGTAAATACGGGACGGCGTGGTCATATGGTAGAGTGTTAGGCTACAGGCCCAAAAAAATCTCTAGTTTTAACTCGGTTTGAACTTGTGACTTTAAAACCACCCAGCTGTGACGGGTTACGGCGCTGTGAAATGATAGAGTGTTAGGCTTGATTGATGAATAACATCCATCTATATATATAATTCTCTTCTGGGAGACGTTAGAAAACAAGCTGCAAGCGCCTCCTTGCAGTCTCCTCTCTTCCTCTCTATCATTATCACTACCATCCCCACCCCACACCCACATGGTCTGATGAGCTGTGGTCACGCTAAATGTTTACAAATCGTAGAGCCGGGTTTAGTGGCGGCTATTAGGGGCAGATAATTTAGTTTGAAACGATTTTAAACTTACAGGAGGTAACTAAGAGGAGGCTGCTTTCACGGGGGGGGGGGGGGGTGTAGGGTCGGGGTTAGGGGAAGGGGGGAGGGGGTAGTGTTTTAAAGCAAATATTTTCAGTGGCAGCATTGGTACTGTTGAATTCACAAATTATGAATTACTGAAAAGTAGAAAATAAAACAACTAAATAGCGGCGTATGATACGCCGCGGGTCGGCTCGTTTCGAAATATTTCTTCTATACTGTTCATTTTTTGACATGATATCGGATAGTAATTATTTTTAAAAATATATATATAAATACATTAATGACGTATATACCGATATAAAAGCAAGGGTTGAGATGTCATTCCTCGTGGAGTTGGGCAATAGAAGTGGTAGGTAAGTTTGTGAAAAAGTCAAGCTATAGAAGTGAGAAGATAAATACAAATGGTTATTGCAGTGAGGTTAGTTGAATTAGTAATAGAACAGATAGTTTTAGTTACCTCACAAGTTAAAGAAAGTTACAAATACTATGGACGTTTCGACCCAAGGTCTTCGTCAGCACACAACAGTGTGGTTAAAGATTAGACAGAAAAGACAAACAGAAAACAAACTTTGGACAGCTCGACAGTGAAAACACGTCTTGTCTAAATGCCACGATATCCAATAGAAAAGACGCGTGAAAAAGGACGCTTGGATACCGTATAGGGGTGGCGTTGGGGGCGTGGTGTATGGGGGAGGACGGGGAGGATTGGGAATAAAAGTGGTAGGTGACAAAATCGTTAACATTGTAAGCAAACACGAAAAGAAGAAAAGCTCTTATATAGTATCCTGTTTTATGAGAATACGTAAAAAACATCACTTTTTGGAGGTTTTGAGAAATGTCGACCACCAGAATGTTAGATATCGGAAATTTAGTAAAATGCCATTTTTAAATGTTAGAAATAAATGCAATTTTTAAAAAATCCTAATTTAGGATCTTGTGTATAATATTTCGTCTGTTAACTCAAACGGTACTTACGGTCATATGTTTATCTATATATATAATTCTCCTCTTCGAGCCGTTAGAAAACAAGCTGCAAACGCTCTCCCTACCTCCCCACCCCTACATGGTTTTAGTGAGCTGTGTTCACTCTAAATGTTTACAAACAGAGCCAACGATTTTAAACGTAGGGGGGGGGGGGGAAGGGGGGGAGGAAGGGGGGGGGTTATGGTCCTTAACGCGCTACTTATAGTGTTTTAAAGAAATATTTTCAGTGTCAGCGTTGGTACTGTCGAATTCACAAATTATGAATTATTGAAAATTAGAAACAACTAAATAGCGGCGTATGTTATGCCGCGGGCCGGCTCGTACAACATAAAATACCACTTGAAACAAGTTCACCTTTAACAAAAGCCTCTAGGTAAGGCTCCAATGGAAAGTAACTTCATATTTTCAAACACACTCTCTACTCGTTTCTACCGATCAATACTTGTGTTCTTCATATGACACACCTGTACATAACCCAGTTGACCCATGACCTGATGAGCGTGTTTATTAATAGAATATTGTCTAGAAAATATTCCTCATTACCATAGTGGCACATTTCCTTGCCCCGCCAAATGTAGTGCGAAAATTCAAAACTTTATTTACGATCTGATATAAAGGGCTATTCAGTCATGACTAGGCAATGAGCGACACGTTATCATCCACTTCATCAAGAATATCAATAATTGCATAGTCAGGGAAACAACTCATTTATTGTCGTGTTCTGAGCAGGCCTGGTGGTGTGGAAAAGTAGAAAATTAAAAAAAATTATATTTCTTAAGGTGGGGGTGGGGGATAAGGTGTCTAGGGTATTTGCAAATGATTTCACTTTTGTTGTATTACTTAAACAGACACAGTTCTTTGAGTTAACTCCAGTGCTTTATTCTTATAGCGGGTTGGTAAGTATGTTACCAACCAGCTCTACGGCTAAATAAAACCTGCATGAGCCATAGAACTGTTTATTGACCTACTTACCAGTCCTATATACACAAAGCCCAGACGACACGTTATGTTTCTGACTCTACTTTTCGTTAACTGACTACATGTACAAATTACCTACACATCACTGAAGACACAGTGAACACTCAAAGGACGTAACCATAATATACATAATACAAGGGACGTAACAGTCATTAAACAGACATAATGTGACAAATATGACTATATCACAGGATTATGTGATGAGGTCATAAATAAATAAATAAATAAATAAACAAATAAATAAATAAATATATATATATATATATATATATATATATATATATATATATATATATATATATATATATATATATATATATATATATATATATAAACTGACAAAGTTCAAATTTCGATGTTTATTAACAAATACACAATCCATCCATTCATAATTCTGCCTTACTGCGCAGTCCTACCCAGTTCTTCTCCTACCTCAACAATTCCCTAACTAATCTCCAAGCCCAACTCAAATATCTCCTATTCCTAACAATATTTATCTTCAAATACAATCAAATACTCGACTTCCTCCTGTACGCTATCTTTGACCCTCTGCTGCTTAACTCTGAACATTAAAAATGTAAACTGTAGGTTTGCGAATGGTCAAAAAATGGAAAGTTTCCATGAATATGACAACAAAACTATCTCATATAAACTGAAAACAGCCTTATTTAGGTTAAGTCTATCATGTAATAATTGTTTTAAAGCAGATGAGGCTCGTTAGCTGTTGAAAGCCACTCTTCTAGGAGAGACAACTCCAAAATTAAACAACTGCTGCCTTGTAGTTTGTTCTTGGTTGGACAAAGGCTATGGAAGCAAATCCAAAAAGAAAAGCAGGCTGAAAACGGAGTCAATGGCCTCAATGTCGCATAACCAGTTGACACGTAACGCTTAATTGTGTTGGAGGCGTGGTCGAGTCGGAAAAAAGCTCATGGTTGATAAATTCGAACAAAGTCTCGAGTTCAAACCCACTGGCAGATAAATCTCGATCCCCTTCCACAATAATAATTAAGAACGAAGAAGAAGAAAGAAGAAGTTTTAAAGCAGATTTAACAGTTTACTCTATTTTATTCCAATTACGTTTGGCGATAATTTAAAATTGGGTCACATGTTTCCCTTGGTCCTCAAATGGTTAATTAATCATAACGCTTGGTCAGCTGACCGTCACACGTGACCTATCAGTACGTTCAGCTGCTGTTCTATTGGTTCTGCTTGACCAATGTCTAGCTGGCCTAAGCTATTATACGTCTACCCCATTCTTGACTCATATTTGCGTGTTGCACAACGTTTCGTCATCAAAATTATACTATGCAAATATAACATAAGAAACAGTTGTACCAATAATGTATGACAAACGATAGCATCATTATTATAAAAGTGTTACAACGTTAAGAAATATGATCATATAGACGGTGTGAAATCATATTGTTGAAAATACATTAGAAGAAATATAACTCACAAATATGTATTAAATGACGTGTTACGATTTTACAATGTATATAGATAATACGTTTAACACACACACTTTCACGACGAACAAGGTAAACACGCGATGGAAAGAAAAAAATATTTTATTGATAAACGGGACTATACACAGATACAGTTCTTCAAGTGGTACTTAAGTCATCTTTTTTATGACCATGGAGCCTTATTGACTAGGTTTTGACCCCAGCTGTAACGAGAAAAAAAGGAGGGTTAAGATTTACTGCTCAATGAATGTGCTTCATAGGAAGAAAAAAGGTTTTATATTTGATTTGAATTGTAATTACTTGCGTAACGTAGTATCAAAAACGTTTATTAATTACACACTGGCATCGGTATACAACGCTGATTCTTTAAAATTTTAAGAATAAATCATCGACAATTAAAGTAATATATTCTAGAATTTTTAAAAATGTTACAACATATTTCGTTCACTAAAATATAATTTAAGGGAAATCCATTGAAATCTCAAGATGTATATCTAATACCCTGTTTCATATTTTAAACATTAACACATTAATGTGCAGGGTACAAAATATAGTGCTTCATCTGGTATGCATAGGAGTATATAATAATATGTTACAAAAAACAGATCTATGCGAATAATAATACTCAGGCTTAGGGTTTCTTTCCCATTAAATTTGCGGTGGGGGAAGGGGGGGGGGGGGGCGTGGGGTGGTCAATGTTTCTTCCAGACTTTTTTTCTCCGGGAGGGCACTTGAAATGTTCCGCGGGATGGGGGCCGGAGTAAAATTTCTTTGGTGTGGGTGGGGGTGCGAACACTGTTAAATGTATATATTTTCTATATAAATTCCGTTTCGTCTTGGGGGGGGGGGTGGCGGTAGATGCCTGCAAAAAAAAAAACCGAGGGTGGGAGCAAATTAAACATCCATTAAATGCTTAAATTATATATTTTCTGTTAATTTATTTTTTGTAATTCGTCCTTGAGTGAGTCAGGGGGGGGGGGGTGCTGTACGTACATTGAAATGGTACACGCAGAAGGAAAGGGGGGGGGGGGGTAGAAAAAAAATACCAGGAAGAGAAATCTTCTTACGCGTCGTATTCCGCTTTCTCCACGTGACCATTCCTATTGGTGTCCATAGCCATTGCGACCTTGATCGAGTCCCGGTAGTTGAGTTTCCCGTTCTTGTCGGTGTCCAGCAAGTCGAAGATTTTGTCCGAGTAAGCTTTGACCCGCCAGTAGTTGTTGTTCAGGTAGTAGAACAGCTCGTCTTTGGTCAAAACTGTATCTCTGTTTCGATCCAGTCTCTGAATAATAAAAAATATATATATGATATTTTGTAAAAACTATTACACATTTTGGAAGGCTGTCTATAGCGTTGCGCTAAAAATATAAGAGCTGTTTTGGGATTGAGGGCGTCAGTGTTACAATTATTTGTAACGAGTTGTTTTTAGTTATAGGAATAAGGCGTATGGTGTGAACATTTGACATTTGATTCGGTTATATCAACAATACATTAATAGATGTATATATATATATATATATATATATATATATATATATATATATATATATATATATATATATATATATATATATATATACAGGTAGATTTTGTGGGTCTTAACCTTACAAAATCCGATCGTAAATTAGATGCGTCAGGTTTGCGTCTGGAATTTCGCCGGGCAATGTGACTGACTCACCGAACCATCTTGATTTCGATCGAACCCAGGTTAAGAAACACTACGCTAGATGGATAATATTACTCCATTGCATCAATAATGGTAAGAGTATTCATTTACATCAATGAACGTATTTAGCTCAAAGTGTGTAACTTTCCCGTCCTTGTCGTAGTCCATGGCGTTGAAGTCATTAGCCAAGGCCAAGGTCGGCACTAGAACCAGAACCCACAGTGGTGACATGGCGATTGTAATCTGTAGAAATAGTTCGTACAACAAACGTTAGGGTGGCTACTGGGGTCTATGACAAGTTCCCGAAAGACTATTGCCCGAATGCCGTTTGCCCGAAGGCAGATTTCCCGAATGCGACAATTGCCTGAATGGACACTTGCCTGAGCGCGACAATTGCCGGAATGGATACATGACCGAATGCGACAAATGCCGGAATGGGCATTCGGGCATGTGTCTTTCGGGAAAACGTCCGGCTCTCGGGTAGTGTAGTACTGTGTAATCTTGGTTCAAACACGACTATAAAAAAATATATTTAGAAAAAAAATATTAAATTATGTTCTAGATTAGGCTAATATAATTATATATATACGCATATATATATATATATATATATATATATATACATATATATATATATATATATATATATATATATATATATATATATATATATATATATATATATATATATATATATGTATATATATATTTAAGTACATGTAATGTACATATATATATATATATATATATATATATATATATATATATATATATATATATATTTATTTAAGTACATGTAATGTACATATATATATATATATATATATATATATATATATATATATATATATATATATATATATATATATATACCGAGATCAGTATTTGGCAATTAGCGAAACGCAGCATAATTGGTAAATACAATTTAATCATAGTGAATTAGTTGACTTTACAAAAGAGAAGGCATTACTAAATAATATAGCATAGGCCTACTTACCAACTTTGGCAAGTTAAACTAAACACGGATGTTTTCGTGGCAGAAATGAGCCTAGCGAGGTGAAGACAACTATTTTATAAGGGAGGCTTGACTAAATGTCACGTACACGTTGCTGTGACTCACAGAGACATGCCTCTAATTTCATTGGACACATTTTTGTACTATCGATTCTACAGAGTGGATGTCTGATGCACAAAACATTTAAAATAAAGCAATTGTCTTCGGTCAGGTAGTTAACTATGTCAATGAGCCGCGTAGATGATGATTTTATAGGATATATATATATATATATATATATATATATATATATATATATATATATATATATATATATATATATATATATTCGTGTCTGAGACACATTGTGCAGATGAGGCAGATTTCATCAGTTTCAACTTTCTCGCCATACGAAGGGAAATGGTGTGGTAGGCTTCCATAGCCAGCAACCTTTGTTTCCCTTGTGTGAGTCATATATATATATATATATATATATATATATATATATATATATATATATATATATACTAGCGTTGCCGCGGGGATAGAAGAAAGTTTGACGAATTATATTAGAAGAATTTCACCAACGCGTTACCAATCATATGTTCTTAGACGCGTGACCGTCTTTTCTAAAAGTGAGTTATTTAAATGTAAACCATGCCTGCGCTTGAATCGTAAATATCGGGACACGGGTTTACCTACACTACCGCATGAAAACCTAGAGTTTACATCAGTGGCGGAACTAGAAAAAAAGGGCCACCCTGCAAAAAAAATTTTTTAGGCCCTTCCCCCATATACATATATTATATAGTCCTATATATCTATATATATATATATATATATATATATATATATATATATATATATATATATATATATATATATATATATATATATATATATATATACAAACACTAAATACGAACATATGATACTCATTGCTGGCCTGTTCGGGTTATGAACAAAATAGATGGGTTTTTTTTCAATTAAAACATCATGTCATGTGAGTTAGTGCTTTTGTGTGTTCTGTATTTTTTTTTTTTGTTTTTTTTTGTTCAAATTGTAATTTTTTTTTATATTTATTCAATAATTCTAGCAATGTTTGTGTGTTCTGTAATTATTTTTTTTTTTATTTTTTATTTTTTTTTATTTGTGTGTGTTCTGTAATAATCAGTTTTATTTTATCTCTGCTTTAAGACCTCGAAACCTAGTCGGTCAAAAGAATATAAACCATGAAAGCTTTGTATAAATAATGGTATCTCGTTCTATGTTTATTTTTATGTTTGTTAGTATTTATATTTTTCATTTTAAATACTTTTCCTTTACATTCAATGTTATTCTTTAGTAAATACTTTAAAAAAATAATTAAGAGAAGTCATTGCTTTTTTTAATATGTTTAGTACAAATCTATTTAAAGGAGCTTTTAAGCACCCCGATTTGACTATTTAAAAAAGGGAAATAAGTCATAGAAGTGGTTTGAAAGTCTGCTTATCTTTGATAAGTTTGATTGTAGGAGAAAGAGGACTCGGCTTTCACAATGGTTTAAAAACAAAGGGAAAAAGAATATACAAGAGCGTGGGGTGGTGTCTATAGAATAAAGATAATCCAACCGCAGCTACAGTAATCTTTTTTTTCACAAAACAACCATCAAGATAAAAATGCAAGAAAATAATTTTTTTTTAACTATAAAAAAAAAATTATGGTCGGCTGTGGGCCCCTAAATGGCGTGGGCCACCCCGCATTGCGGGGTCTGGCGGCACTGTAGTTCCGCCCCTGGTGTACATTAATCACTCACCGAAATAATATGGTAGAACACACTTCGGTGACCGCCCATGTGTCAGAGACGTAGAGGCCCGCTCTCAGGAGCCCCCCCCCCCCACCCACCCCTATTACAGTACTGCTTAGGCGCGGCGTACGACCCCTGACTCCTTAAAATAGCATCCTGTTAACAATGATGCAGATTGCGTCATTCACTAAAGTGCAACAAATGAACAGGATTTGTTATTCAAGACGTAAAAAGTTTATTTGACGTGTTTTAAACATCAGTGTGACTGATGCAATATATTAGCGTTACTAATGGTCTATTCTTAGATGCTCTCAATTTCTGTTTGGATTATCTAAAAAATAGATGCTAATTGCATCATTCGCAAAGTGACGAAACTGTTTGGATTTTTTGCGGAAAAAAAGAAACATCCCAGTTAATAATCTAACCTTGGTTAATTTTTCTGATTATTAAAATAAAACGTATTACATGGCCCTCAGCGGCCAATGTGAGCCTTTGGGGGCCGAAACAGACATTTTTATTTACAGCCTAATCGCACCCTATCAGGGCGCCAGAGGACACGCCTGATTCAATTTAGTAATCGTTTGTAACGCCCCATAGCGAAATTAAAAATAATTTTTTACTTAACCCTTCCCTAGAGTTGTTTTATAATGAACTCCCAGAAGTTTCATGCCTATCGGATGAAAGGTGTCACTGCAATTCACTTTTATTATTTTTATATACCGTATATAGAGGAAAATTGCACCCTCCCTTGGCGCCACCCTTGCGAAATTAAGAATTATTTTTTTAACAGAACACTTCCCTAGAGTGTTCTAATCAACTCCCAAAAGTCTCATGGCTATCGGGTGAACGTTGTCAAGGCAAAATCGAATTTTATTTTTAAATATCGTATATAGAGAAAAAACAAATCGCGGCCTACCGGGGCGCCACACCTGCGAATTTGAAAATGTTTTTAGCGCAGAAACCTCCCCAGGAATACTCTCAACATCTTCCCAAAGTTTCATGACGATCATGTCAACGGTGTCACGGCAATTCACTTTTATTATTTTTATATACGGTATATAGAGAAAAATCGCACCCTCCCGTGGCGCCGCCCTTGTGAAATTAAACATGATTTTTTTTTACAGAACCCTTTCCCAAAGTGTTCTAATGAACTCACCAAAGTTTGATGGCGATCGGATAAATGGTGTCAAACCAAAACCAACTTTTATTTTTATATATCGTGTATTCAGAAAAAACAAATCGCAGAAACCTCCCAGGAATATTCTCAACACCTTCCCACAGTTTCACGGCGATGTGATGAGAGGTGTAGTAATGCATAAAGGACAAACAGACAGACAAACAGACAGACACACACACAAACATACATTCTTTTATATATATATATATATATATATATATATACATATATATATATATATATATATATATATATATATATATATATATATATATATATATATATATATATATATATATATAGATAGATAGATAGATATATATAGATAGATATATATAAATATATATATATATATATATATATATATGTGTGTGTGTGTGTATGCCTGTGTATATGTATGTGTGTGTGAGTAGCTAGATGTTAGTCTGAAATGAATGCATAAAATTATATAATTTCATTCGTCGATAAAATAAAGTTTTCAAAATAAAATGTCTGACTTAAAACAAAACGGATGCGCTATTGAATGAAACTTCAGCAAGAATATTTACATGAAAAATACAAATACTGAAGAAAGCAGACAATTGGATACGGGCATTGCTGATCTGAACTCCTGATAACTTTGATAAGGGGGTCGCAAAAAAATGTCTTTGTTTTTCTTTAAAGCGAAAGCTGTCACCGTCTAACCTAGCTGAAATTTTTACATATGTAATTGTGTAATGGAATGCAGCGCCCACTTCTAAATTGATATATGTGGAGGCGGGTCAAAATGTTTTAATGTAAGGTAGCGGTATGCAAAGGCCATTTATGAAAATGGAAATGTAACAAGTGGTCAACAGGTGTTTGTTATGGCTTTTTATCACAATACCTCACACCACATCACACCACAACACATCACACCCACATCACACCTCACATCTCATCCACCTCACATCACATCCACATCCACCTCACATCAAATCACACTACACCTCACATTACACTGACATCGCATCACACCTCACATCTCACCTACCTCACATCACACCTCACATCTCACCTACCTCACATCACACCTCATATCTCACCTACCTCACATCACACCCATATTATATCACACGAACATCACATCACACTTACCTAACATCACATCACATCAAATCACACCACACCCACATCATACCCACATCACACCCACCTCACACCCACCTCACATCACACTTACCTAACATCACATCACATCAAATCACACCACACCCACATCACACCCACATCACATCACACCCACCTCACCTCACACCCACATCACACCCACATCACATCACACCCACCTCACATCACACCCACCACACATCACACCCACCACACATCACACCCACCCACCTTACATCACATCACACCCACATCACATCACATCACATCACACCCTCATCACATCACACCCACCCACCTTACATCACATCACATCACACCCACATCACATCACACCCACACCACACCACATCACACCCACCTCACATCACACCCACCCACCTTTCATCACATCACATCACACCCACCTCACATCACACACATCATAGCCATATCATATCCACGTCACCTCACACCCCCATCACACCCACATCACACCCACATCACACCAACATCACACCACCTGTCGATTAAAAATGCGAATGCGTTGTTTTTAATAATACTCCGTTTTTTTTTGTTTTTTTTATTTTTTATTTTTTTTTATTTTATATTATTGTTAACCACGTAAGGGGAGGGAATAAATAAGAAAATAGAAAAAAAACATCACAAAATGTGTAAGTGGTTCTTGCGCTTGTATTCTGTATTCTTTTCAACAACGAATTCAACTAGACCAGTGGTTCAAAACCTCGGCTCAATCGAACCCCAGGTGATCGGTTTTAGGTGAAGATCAAGCACACAATTGGATATACTTAGTGCCATCGACACAATTATCATCGAGGTTTCTTTGAATGCGCTTAGGAAACCTGTACAAGTACCTGTAAAAAAAGAATTACTGAACTAGCTACACATAAGCATAAGCTAGAACAATCATATGTTATATTATTAAAATATTTGCCATAACACCTTGCCATAACAACATTCACAGCAATAAGAACTTAATAGCAATCAAATATAGATA